AGCGGAGCATGTTTCCCGCGTGTTCAGCTTGTTTACACCCCTATATATGTATATATATAGATATATATAGATATATATATATATATATATAATTTTTTTGTGAGCAATGCATGCAAATTCCCCAAAATTTTATGAAGTCAAAACTAAATCATGAATTATAATGAGCAATTTGAAGTGAAGAAATTTAAGTTGAATTGTAGGAGAAATATAATTTAGAATTTTGTTTTATTCAAGTATTTTTAATTATTTATTGTAGGCCAAATTTATGTTATCTTGCTTAAACTCTTAATCAAAATGGACTACTAACAATGCAATTGGTTCCACTTTTCTTAATAATTTCCAATGGTTTAGAGGGTTGAATATGTAATTTCTCAAATTTGACAAAGTGGTGTCTCATAAGTCTAATATGAATCAAGATATGGCTTCCTTCTTCATGTAACTATGATCAATTTTAGCAACTATGGTTTAGCTTCATCCTTGGAATCTAATTTAGGTTGAAGCTTTAATGTGGGTTTATGAAGCGCATTGAAATAAGTCCTCTCTATTGGCTTCATTTGCATAACTTTTAGATAAAATAAAGACACATGGAAATTGTTAAACTTCTAATACAATGAGATTAAGGAAAATTAATTAACATAATAGCATTTAAGCCAAGCTTCAAGATTTAATTATAAGCATTATCATAAGAGTTCACAATCATGTAAAGGACAATAATACTTTCTCATTTTATGGAGGAGTTTACTAATTGGAAAGTTGTGCACATTCTATGTTAAGAGTTATACTTAATACAATTTTATGCTACCATAATTAAGAAATTAGTTTATCTAAAATGTTTTGGAATAACTTACAAGCATAAATATGATTCTAAAGACTAACTCCTATTGTAAGAAGAAAGTTAACCAAGAATATTTTCTACACACTTTGTTATAAGACCAAATATGAGGATGTGTCGAGTTTAACTAAATTTAATTTAAAATTTTTATTTTTAATTATAGTAATCATATAATTAGATATTTATTTGAGCAATTAATCATTAATAATAATTTTATTAAATAATTGTATTAAATATATTCATTCATTAATAAGTGATTAATTATTCTTGTTAAATCTCTGTGCTAGAGTGCACACGTCTCAAGAGATAGAGCACGAAAGTAAAGAGAAGCCACGAGGCAATATGAATTTGGTGAAATGAGTGTATAACCCTATATTCATTAAACACCCCCTATTTATAATCATAGGTGGCTTAGGTTTACAATTACATTACTATGCCTATTTATCTTGTCGGTTAGAAGGTATTTCTTGTCTTTTTCTTAATCCCGAGTAGTTAATATAACTACATATCTAATACAAATAACTAAAGGGACACCAATATCATGAATAGTTGCGAATATCAGATATAATACTTGGCAAGACAACTGATTTTTACTTCAAGTTGTTCGTCACTTAATTGCTGATTGATTGCGTGAGCCAGTCAATTCAACCAGTCATTTAGTTTCGATGGATTACAGACCATCTGGACAAGTGTATTGAGTTAGTCGATCTCTTGATAATCTTCCGTATGCAATTCCAATCGGAAATCATGAAGTCCTTTTGAACTGCTTGATATCTTTAAGATTCATGCTGACATTTTTCCTATATAAATATTAGTTCCCCAATTTTCTTGCTCATTATCAACTACAATAAGGACAAGAAAATGATTAATTAAATCTCATGAAAGCATAATGATTACTTCCTAGTCTTTCGTGCTCATATGATCTCTATAAATAGGTTCAGTGCTCTTTCCTCTCATCCCCATATTGGATTTCAAACACAATAATGTTGACGTGAGAGCTTCAGACCGTTTTGATGACGATGCACTTCTAACGGCTCTCGAAGAGCTTCAGCTCCCTCCTCAGCCTGTTCCTATTGCAGTAAACGAAAAAAATGAAGAATAAGTAGGTGGCGGTGAGGAAGAAATGCAAGGACCATGTAATTGATTTAAATGATCAAGTTGCGTCTTTTGTTGGCCCCAATGTCGATTGACCAGAAAAAGTAGCAAGAGTGGAGAAAGATTGAGAGCCTCAGGCTCCTCTCATGGATCATGTTTCGTTCATCGAGGAAAAGTCTCACCTGGTTGATCCTATCACTCAGGAGTTAGTTGGTGTTCAGGAACAACTTAGTACAACGATGATTTATGACTCTTAAGTGCATACTATCAACACTTCCATCCAAGATTTGCCCATTTCTTTCGAATTAATTATGGATGCTGGGATTCCGACCGATTTGGGTATGCGGTCAGCAAATGTTGTTGTTGATCCTACAATTCCAACAATCGTGCTTCATCAACCAATCGGAGAGAGCCAACAACTGACTAGTGATGCGATCAATTAGTTATCCAATATTTTCAATACTTCCCAAAGAATTGATGGTGGTTAGCAGCAGTCTTCCGAATCGCGGGAACATAAAATGAATGAAATGGTAGATTATTTTGAGTGGGCAACTAGAGGATTAGACAATGATGTTGTTCAAGATCTGCAGACTCGGGTTGAGAGGGTGGAAGGAGAAGACACGCTCTCAGTGATGAGGTGATGGCTCTCCGGACTGAGTTATAGGTCGATGGGACTCAAAAAGTGGTAGATCGGGGCAATTATTTCAAGCTAGGGGATGAACTATTGCTTAAGTGTGTGTGTGTGTGTGTGTGTTAAAGTGATGTGGTGTGACCGTTTTTTTCCATACATAGACATTTAGAATGATGTCCCTGCGCGTTTCGACTTCCACACCACTTTTATTATAAATAGGTTAAAGAGAGTTGTGTTTAAGAATTTTCCAAACCCTTCTAATTCTTCCCTATTTTCCTTTTTCCCTCATGGCTCGTAAGTACTCTCCTAATGTTTTTGACACTTGCTCTGTTGTCGATTCTTCTGTCTTAACTGAAGATGATGCGCAAAAGTTAATGTGCTATGTATTTGACAATACCATGAAACTTCGAGCCATTAGGAGTTTCGACCGAGCGGCAAGCAAGTTTGGAGACGACCTGGTGTTCTATCAAGATCAATTTTGATGCGGTTTGAGGCTCTCATTTTGTACCATCCGAAGGATTTTTTTAATCGGTATGGAGTGGTTTTGACCCAAGTCATGCCAAACTCGATAGCCACGATTATGAGGTTCACCATCTTTTGCCGCCATTCGGGCATACCGTTGTCAACTAACTTGTTTAGCTAGTTTTTATTCAAGATTGACAAGGATGGTCTGACTGAATTCTTTGTCGGTTATAGACTCTAACTTTTGGGATTGTTAAACAAGATAAAAGATCAGAGAAAGTAGTTTCTAGCTGGATCTTGCTCCACCTGCTAGGGGACCAGCGTTGTTGGTATCAATTTTTAATGTCACGAGTGTAGGACATTTGCTTGACTAACTCAGGATGATTTATTATTCACTCATAGTGTCTCGTAGCCAAAGACACCCACATGAGACTTCCTGGTACATGTTTAGGTCCTGAAACCAAGGTCTGCGTTGACTCAGACTTGTAGTCCACTATTTGGCTATTTGGCAGTGTTAGCTATGATATGAGACGTATCTGATGTTCATTGTAATGTTTGAAGACCTTGCTCCGTCTATTTGGAGCTCTCATGGTCAAAGAAAGCTGTCGAACCTTCCCATTGGCATTTCCGAGAGGATTAAAGTTTGGAACGCTGTAATCGCGCGACATTTCAGGGCATTTATTGACACTGAAATCCTTGAAGTAATACCCATAATTTTTTTTTTGAGTTATGGAACTATATTTTAGTCCTACACACTCTCACATAGCTTACGGATCGAAAAAAAAGCCTTCGTCGAACCTTTCCGGTGAAAACATGGGTTTTCGTGGCTAGACCGACGCCTACGAGCCAGCCCTGGCGCATGGCGCCAGTTTAGGCGCCTAGGCGCCCAAAACATACCAACGGGGTGTTTTGGCGTCAACCCTCTGGCGCCTAGGTGCCAGTCTCCTAGAAAGTAGGTGCCCGGAGCTGCTCGAAAGGCA